AATCTAATCCGTAGTTCAATAGTTGAACAAATCTTGAGGACTTGCAGACATAATATATTATACCAACTAAACAAAATTCTGATAGATTGGTGATGTCCTGGTCATGTGAGCGTGTTGCTCCTATGAAATGTGCCAACTCTACGGGCAGAAAGGCTCTCTAAACTCCTGGGTCTGCCCAAAGACTTCACTAGTCGTGTGCAAGCTGGCGGTAGAAAGATTTTAAAATAACTTTCCCCAATCAATTAAAACCAATGAATTTTTTTAGTGTCCTTTATTGTATTATTCGGTTCATTGAAAGAATTAACTCAAGCTCGATTGCGTTATTCTTTACACACCTGCATCTTTGAATCCACTCTGATCCTCAATTCTTTGATCAGATAATTAGTGCTTCAGTTGACATATATCGGTCAGCCATCTAAAATACAAGTCGATCAATAAGTATTTAATACTACTCTAATAAACTTCATATCATTCATCTGCGCGATCCCCATACAAATTGGCAATTTGAATTTGTTCATAAATAGTTCTTAGATTTTTCCAAATTCGGAGGTAAGTGTCTTGTAATATAACACACAAATCGTTCAAGGGTGCAGTACTAATCATTTTTCCCCTTGAAAATAAAAATATTTAATAAACGCATTACATGTAACGAACGCGTAACACATTTGTACACAATGAATCCTATAAACCCACAAGTTCGGAACTCAGTCACGGTAACTTTCAACTAATAGATAAGATGACACTTTCATTCATTTACCCAAAATAAGGAAGAAAACCAACTTTGGGAGCATAAAGATTTGTCTAAGCGGAAATAATTTCAAAATAAATCAATCATATTCCTGTGATTGATCTTTTCGATATATCATATTACAATTTCACAGTTTAGTAGATATTGCAACTGTTGTTTTAGCGCCACGACGCTGAGCAAGTTAGCTATGTTACTGCACATACATTGCAAATAAGTGTACTATCTAGATGAAGTACCTGTCGTCTTTTCAAGAAGTTGTTGAAGCGTTTGAAACAACTGATGTTGTGATAATACTGAGAAGTTAAATTTTATCACATGTGTCATGACATTGATTATCTCGCCTGACAGAATAATGATGTTCACTAATGGATTTTCAGATTTTAAATTTTTTCAACAAGACTATGTAACGTATTCCTTCTAGAGACTACGAGACTTAATATTCTCATATGATCTCGAACTACAGGTTAACCGTAGTAGTATATTGTTATCACCCAACTCCAATTATTTCCGTTTATTATATGCGATCACATTCTCAGCATTGGCGATGCTCAATTTATACTAATTATATGCATCAGTAAGACCAATGTCGTTCCTCTGAGGAGTTTACTATTGTGTATTTCAGTTCACAATGAAAATAACGATATAAATTCCTTTGTATGCTTTTCTTACGAAAAGCTTGCATTAGTTATTTCATTATTTGTCTCTATTAGGCAACATTTCCCTCAGAACCCTTACCCACCTTGGCTTAACAGAACATTTAATTTAATTTTCTCAAGAAAAAAATACGCTGTATAAGAAATTCTTCAAAAATTTGAAGTATTCTATTGCAGGGCATCGCGCCGCTAATATATTTACAAGTTAAAGTCCTCACTGCTAACCAATTCTAAATATTTGTCACTTTTGTTAGTAATAAGCGCGAAGCCAGCCGCTTTTCTGCGTTGATGTCCTTTAATGGGTTCGATCCTTCTAATGGTGTGGAGATTCCGAATTTCTCCACGAATTTCTTTCAACTTAACTTTTTAGCCGAAATTTAGACGCCACCATAGCCTATTGGCACAGAATAAAAGGCGCAATTATAATTTTAATATTATTTTTTCTGATGATGAAGTTTTCCAAATCCTAAGAGCAGTGAAGTATTCATAAGATATGGTGTTATCTATATTGAAGTCGCGTGCCGTGTGCTGACTTACTTTATGGTATTCTTGCAATAATCTTTAATTCCGCTCCGACACCATGTGTTTTCTCTGCAATTTGGATAATATATCTTTCATAATTCTTAAAAATGAAAATAGACAATACACAGCGGAAGGCTATAGAGGCGTTTCTAAATTGACTGCACTAATTTGTTCATCGTATCGTTGCTCGACATTTAACAATAAGGTTCCACATTTCTTCCGATAAATGTCTGCCTTTTCTACTTGGCCGAACCCGTATATTCACATTTTTTTTTTTTTTTTTTTTAGTAAGAAAAGGAATGATAAGAAATCAGCTAAAGCTTTTCGTTGTCTGCTTATTTTTACTGAAATTACTGCATTATGACGAGAATACTGGTTCTAATTTATTAATAAGAACTTTATTATTTTTTTATATTATGAAATAATACAAGAAAACCATACCATTTTAACTTCATGTAAGTATTCGCATTGCGGAAATTGCAATCATGTCTACTAGGTAATAGGATTCACCGCACTATAACAGCAAATAGATTGTGTCGTTAAGCAGATATTTTCTCTTCTTTTTGCTTTGTAATGAACACATACTAAGCAATGGTACGGTCAATGTTATAACATTAATCTAGATTTTAAATTGAATATAATGAGCATATTTTTAATGAAAGTAAATAAGGAACACATTTCGTTTTGCTTATTGTTGGAGCCATTTTTGTTAAAGCGATCTTCGAAGAGTTTTGAGGATGACTGTAATTAAACATCCCGTTTCGTATTTTCGTTGGGCTCCATTTTGTGATGCTTTTCAGTAGGAGCTTATTTTGGGTCGGCCTCGACCATGAAATAACATCCGTCGTCTTCTCTAAAGGTTTAACAATGAAACATTCACATTCTTTTTTCAAAATGAATTTCTGCAAACCGCATAACATATCCCCCATGACAATCCACCAATTTTATTTGACCAAACACAGCCATTAAAAACTGACTACAAAAGAAGCTGAAGAAGACGGAGGGCGACAGTTGTTAAAAAATATAACACCGATAACCGAAAAACGCTTTGGCTAAAAGCCAAACTAGAAAATAAATAAAAATCAAACAAAATAATACCTCAAAAAGGTAACATAAGTTGTTATAAAGATAAAATTTTAAATATTATTAGTGAACCAAATAATCTTCAAATGAAAGAACTAAGCACTAATGCTATTCCTGAACAAAAAAACCTATTCACAAATATCAATGACACTCACGTCGTCACCGTCTTGCAGAACGAGCTTGACGATTACATTATATGCACCATATTTGCGGCCCAACTGAAAACTTTCTTAGAAACAGTTAATATTGCGCTAGAGTACGAAAGTATGGGCGAAACGAACTCTTATATAATGAAAATAAAAAGGGTATGAGGTTATATTTAAATATAACTAGCAAAGACACAAACTAAAATTTTTTACAGAGCTCCTTAAAGCCGTTAACAGAATTCTGTTAAACGAAGTCTCGGAGGGATTTAACTCAAAATACAAGTAAAATAGAAGTTTTCGCAAATTTTTTTGCAAATTCTTATAAACAAAACATGACTTTATGTAAATTAACTAATATTCGAAACCAAAACTTTTTTACACTATGCCATAAATGAGGTTGATAAAGCGAAAGTTTACGGAGCTACTGTGACCAAACCATGTCCCTTGAAAAAATGAAACCAGCACAGAGTGAATCCTGTATTAATTTGTTTGTGTCTTTGCTAGTTATATTTAAATATAACTTCACAGCCTTGAAAATAAATACCCACAAATACTATAAAAATCATAACAGCAACGACAAAAATTCCTAGAATAGTAGAAACCAACATTATAATAATAAAAACAATAATCCCGGACGGCACACTTGAAACAGGCATCAAACATACCCTCCCAAATCTTCACAATTTAAAAATGATTGAACTACATAGTGGTAAACATTCAAAATACAGCTAAGCCAGAAATGACAATTCTACTAGACACAGGAGCAGACATCAGTCTCTGCAAAGCACATCTATTGGAAAACTATCCATAAGACAACTCAGAATGTATCAACCTAACAGGAATAATCAACGAATATATAAAAAATTATTGGGAACAATTAAATTATATATAAACTTGGCAAACGAAAGCACTCAACAAAAAATACAGTTAGTAGACCGGGACGTTCCAATAAAAACTGATGGAATAATAGCAAGGGACTTCTTACACAAGTATGCATGTAACATAACTTATGAAAATCTCTTCCTTACAATTAATACGCATGATGAACAAATTCAGTTCCGATAATGTATTTATTACATCAATTTATCGCGGATCGTAAACGAACTTTATTCTTTCCTTAAAATGTATATATGTATATAATTTTTTTCTTTTTTCAAAATTCATTCGTCTCGATGTCGTTCACTCGACAATGTAAGCATGTTGTATACTGTTCTGTGTATTTATTAATAAAGTACATTAAAAGAAATCCTTTACAGTTTCTGTTTGTACGTACATGTGCGCTATAGACAAATAGACTTCATATTAAATAAAAACTCCACAAATCACTTATTTCGCACGTATTATTATTATTAATTTTGTTCGATCACGCTCTTGCTTGTTTTTCTATTTTTGTTTATTTCGTACAAAAATCACACAAACTTCGGGCAAAGCACTTACACATCCACGTTCAAAGAATGAACGAATTGATTGAACTGACTCACTTCACTTTTCATTTTATAAACCGAAACCCGACCTTAAAACACGGACACACATCGCACGCTCTTTCTCTTTCCATCAAGATTTCTCTCACCATTGCTATATGGTGATCTGCTATTTTAAGCAGATTTCTTATTTCTCTTTCATAAAGAAGTAATGTTATTAGCAGAGAGACAAAAATCGTCACCCTACGCTCGCGGACGTCACAAATTCATTGTTTTTTACTGTGCAAAACGAATGCGGCCGACTATTTGGACATAAACGTTACTGTAAACTTGTTATTGATAGATTAAGGTGGCTCTTTCTAAATAAGATAATTACATTGTCACAACTTCTAAGCATTTTTAGAGCAATTATTTATAGGTAACTTACCTCATATACGCTGGGCGGTTCTGTGCTGCCGTAATTATGATGTGAGTGGTAACCACCAGATAATATTTTTTTATGAGCTGCCGCTTGTGATCGATATGCGCTAACACTTAATTTCATTGCAAGTTAAAATAAAATTGTACGAAGCGTGGAGTGTTTTATTAAAACTGCGTCTTTATTTCATTATATAATTAGACCATTTAAATCAGTCATCTCGACGATGACACAATATATTTTAAGCAAACATATACGGTAATTTTTATCACACTTGCTTTGAAAAAAAAACAAAAGACGATCATTAATCCAAAAAAAAATTAGCAAAACCTAATTATTTATATCACGATACTCCCACATCATCATTGCGAAAGCTTTGAAGAACATTAAATAGCCAAAGGGATTGATGTTTAGTTAACGGCTATAATAACGGCCAACAATCTATACACATAATCTAAGTTTAATTGATATTAACAACTATTGGAATTGAACATTAGCTCTATATAAATCACCTGCTCTCCCATCTTTAGGTTCTTCTTTCGTACATTGCAATTAGAAACGCACACAGCTACAGCTGAAAGCGCAATGAAGCTTCCTATATATTTTCAATTCTAGAGGACAAATGAAGCAGGCAATTAGTTGATGCAATAAAAGCCGCGCTTGTCTGCCTTACCATATCATTTTATAAGAAAAAGTAGACAAATCTATGTATAAGCTGCCATCAGCAGTGACAGAGGTAAGAATTCAAAAACAGTAATGTGTGGGGTTGCAATCTCTTTCAACTGATACTTTACCCAAATAAATTGAGGAAAAAAAAACGGAAGTGATCTAATTGACAGAAAGAAGTTTACTCTCAAAGGATGTGCACGTCCTCTAATTACTATAAAATGAACTCTAAATAATATATTTTGTACATAAACTGAGAAATAAAACTACGAGACCAAGATCTTATAATTGGTGTCCAACAGGAGCGATTCTACTATAGACGCGCCATCGTTGTGAGCAATATAAAAATAATTGCATTTTTTTCAAGCAACATGGAGCATGTAACGGTAATACTGATAGAAAAGTTTTTTCTTGTGAATAATTTGTCTTATTACGGGTATACAGAAGTGTATTTGTACGTCTATCAAATTTTTTCATACATGATGCTTTGAAATGTGGCCTCTGTGCTTGACTCATTGAACTAAATGGAATCAGATATAATTACATGAGTTTAGAAAATCTAGATAGCCTTTTCCAAAAATAAGGCGTACGCAATAGAAAAAAAAAATACAAATGAAGAATACAAAGCAAATCTCGCACCTAGTAGAAAGTGCAATTCGTCTATCATTACAGTAACAAAACGCTGAACTTGATAAAAAGATACATGAACTGTTTCAACATAGAAGACAGAAGTGAAGATTTACGGAGAAGCAAGGATTCTGTCCTCGTTAAAATGGAATGAAAACGAGCATTAGAACATTTGCGGACCCTAGTTAGGGTCCCTAATAAAGACATTGTCGCCACCATCCGAATGGATGACGATGCACCCATTTATTCAAACCACTACCCATATCCGATATTATTAATGATAGTAGAACAAAAACTGCTACCAGGAGATTATCCGATCTTTTGGGTCACCTTACAACAGCCCCTTTAGGTTATTAACAAGACGGCTATCGATGAACTAGACAATAGAATAAAACGGCAACGCCTTGTAATACATTTGCAAAAGCTTAGTGAAAGTACAACTGACGATAAGTATCCTATACTGAACATAATGACGAATTAGGCAATAAGAAGAAACGTCTTATAATAGATGTTCCAAAGCTTAGTGGAAAGATAATTGACGATAAGTACCCTATACCGATCACAATAGTGATACATGCGGCACCGTCTGAACTTCAGACCAAAATAAGCAATCAAACGACTAATACACATATTAACAGCTAAAATATTTTAATAAACACAGGCAGAACAGAGCTTTTGTGTTAAAAGAAAAAGTTTCTGCAAAAAATAGCAAAAGACTGAATAATAAATTGACACTATTATATGGGCAATCAATAACAGGGGCAAATATGGGAACAACCGTTCTAATAAAATGGAGCCAATAAGACCTGTAAGAACAGTTTAAGATAACTGGCTCCATTTCAGTGCAACCTTGAGGTAACGTCGGTCAAGAACATTTTTTCTGTTGCTGTTCAATTAATGTTAGTATTCATTCTTGAACTTTATTGTAGACTTGCCAGAAATTTGAAATTTATATTGCATTAAAGGTACTTATTGGTACGCTAATTGACGATTATCTTGAGGATATCAGATTCAATTCAAAAATTGCGCATTAACTTAAATATCAAAAAAGTTGCAACAAATAAAAAATTCAGATTCAAAAAAGAAAATCAATAGATATAGTTAATACAATTTTGATAGATACAAAAGGGACAGCCTTACTCCCACTATTTCTATTGAAATGTTCACTATTCATTGAATTGCGAAATGTCATACAATCAGTAATTGTGGCATACCCAATGTGTGTTATATAACTATTACCTTATCTAAATTGGTTAAAATATATATCTTTAAATTAGTATTCATTACTTTGTAATCTAGTTAAGTATCTTAGATTTAAGTTTCTAAAAATTATAATCCAATGAAATATCTTAGATTTAAGTTTTCAACGCCACAGACACCAGTGTTCCTCCCATTCCGCAATCTGATAAAACAACACAACTGACCGGTAGAACCAGTAGAGTAACCAAAGGCGCAGTTCAAAGACAGTCCGTGAACACATATCATATCACCGTACCGCCAACATTCTGGAAAATTAATGGAAAGTACAACTTGTGTTCAGCAACCAATCCCTAGAATTACTACGGATTGTAACACGTAGACTTTATATGAAGATGAACAGAGACGATAAACCTAATATCCCGTTTTTGCCTTAATAAATGTCACGGATCATAACGTAATATCTATGTCTACCATTGGTATATCGGACGAACATGCAGAGTTTACACTAGTTCAATAGTTCAACAGTAGTGCACTGTACTGAAGAACAACGAAAATAAACAAAGTGTGCCTTATAAGACCCTTTTGTCTCTTTAGACCATAATTTCACTTATGAATATATACATAGAAAATATGTAATCAGAACAATATCAAATTTGACAGAGGAATTTCTTAAGGAACACCAAGGACAGCGCTCACTTAAACGAAGAAGCGGTTAACATACTACTGAAAATTTTCGCCACAAGGGTTGCCATCGCCACTGCGATATAAGTAAGAATTTAAAAACAAAAATAATATTTGGAGTTGGCATCTCCATCATCTGATACGTTTGCCGGAATAAAATGAGGGGAGGAAAACGGAAGCTGTAAAGTTGACAGCAAAAAGGTTTTTCTCAAACGAGGTGCACGTTTACTGATTACTAAAAAATGAACACTAAATAATATCTTCTATAAATAAACAGAGAAATAAAACCATGATCATCAATTATGTTATAATTTATATGAAACGTTATTCTTATTTTTAACTTAAAATAACCCACGCAGTAAACACAATCGGAAGCTGGGTTATCACAATATTTTATAGGATAGTGTGAACAGCAAGACATTGTTTTAGAACCGAAAATAAGGAATTTAATTAATAAATGTACAAACAACAGCAGCACAAAAAATTAGTGTAAAAATAAATTGCATTTTCGATTGATTATTAAAATAAAGAATGAAGAGAATCAATTTAAAAGAAAGGGCATAGAAGTAACCCACACTGACATAATTGGGTAAAGCAAAAGATTTGCGTAAATGTTTTGATTTGAAAACCTTATTTTAAATTTAATATGAAATGCATTTTTTGCTTATTTTTCATGCCTTATAAAATAATATTATATATAAACAAAAATTTCAAATCGACTAACAAAAATAAAAGTTAATTTAATACAAAATAAACATAAATTGGATAAATACATTTTAAATTTAAAATAAATTGCTTCTATTTTTTTAAGTCTTTTTTATTGTTTTATTAGTTTGTATATACGCAAAACCATATGATTTGTCAATTCCTCCAAATTCTCACAAAAGTCGACAAATTTGAAATCCCATATTATCCAAAAATAGGATTAATGCATCATTGTGTCATACGGTTTGAACAGCAAAAAGGCAGAAATGAACGCAAACATTTCAATAGCAAAATCAATATGAAAACAATTAAACATCTCGAAACTGATTAACGAAAAAAATGTTAAAAAATTTTATGACATTATCAAAAATCCTTTATTGTTACTAAATGTGCTATTTTTTGGAATTGGAAATAAGTCGCTTAGTTGCCCTTTTTCACTTTTTGGAAAGTAATGTAGAGTATAAATTCAAGTTCTATAGAAAATAACATTAAAAGGAAATTAAAGTAATGCAATATGAAATATAAAATTAACATAGCTTTCAAATTTTAAATTAATTGTTTTTCTTTCTTCTTTTACTTTTTTGTCGGGTGTTATTTTTTTGTTTCCTTACAAAACAATATGAATTGCCAATTTCTACATAGGATCGCAATAAGTTTAACAATTTTTAGAATGCGCGGTTTCATTATGTCCACTTAGATTGTTTTTTATACTGCGAATTTTTATTCCCTGGCTTGAAATTGAGCGAATCTTCACTGTGTCAACAGCCTATGAGCGCTAACTCATTGAATTTGTAAATTTTATTTCATTTAACTATTTTATTATTGATTTTATTTTACTTACTTACACATGAACCTCAACTAAAACAATTTAACAGTCGAATTCAACTGACTCTTAAAAAATAAATCCTATACTAATTAGTATTAAAAACTAGTATAAAGTATATAAGGAGAAATAAGGAAAAAAATAAAAAAATAATAATAATTATTAAATAATACTTCATGTGTATATAAATACGAAAAAAACAAAGCTTGTACACAATTGGCACAGAGGCCCACCCACAACCAGTACAGAACCAAATTGTAAGTGAACCCCTAAGCTATCGCAAACATGCAAGAGGTTTGCAAGCAATGCAGTAACCAATACCAGTTAATTTTCAAATCATAGTGAGTTGTTAAGATTAAAAGTTAGTTTAAATACAACATAGGCAAATCGCGCGTATTAAACCAAGTCGTTTTGATAAACTTTACAGAATCCTATATTGAGATTAAGGGATAGATATCATTTAGCATTTTGCAAACAACTCTGAACGGGTGAAACAGCTCATAATTATATTTATCACGTTGGCTCAGCTTAATGAACATAAAGTGCCTCGAAAAGCGATTGGGGACATTAA